TCTTCAGCTCAAGGCTAGCACTCTACCACTTGAGCCACAGCGCCACTTCCGGCTTTTTTCTTTTTGCTTATGTGGTGCTGAGGAATTGAACCCAGGGCCTAAGGCATGCAAGGCAAGTGCTCTACCACTGAGCCACCTTCCCAGCCCTCAATGTAATCCCTAATGCAAGATTTAATAAAAAGACAAGTATACATAGCTCCTTATCCTTCAAACTAATCTCTCCTTTTAAAATGGTGGTTCTTGCACAAGGAGATGCTAGACTCAAAAGAGGGTTTGGTTTTTTGCTCTCTGCAGGTTGTGGCTACCAGAGTAAGAGAAAGGACTAGACTGGAAAGGTCTGATTGTGCAGCTTCCACCAAAATGAGCTAGGCACACGCAATAACCAACTGTAAAAATGAACATGAACAAAAACAAAAGACAAAACCACAACAGCTCAGCAAGATTATATATTAAGGGTAAAATTGTCACCAGAGTCCTAACAACTAAACTCATGACATAAAACCAATGACACACCCTCGCATTTCGACTGGTGACCAGAACATCTGGTGGAACAAAGCTGGCCAAAAGCTCAAGTGAATCCTCCCTAGTGAGTTCGTCTCCTGTGCCCTCCACAGCTGAGACTGAGTTCCTGAGACCTGTCTCCACTGGGGCTACCTGTTACCTAGACACAGGGATGCTGGGTGGCACCAGAGGCTTCTGAGCCAGCATAGCAGAGGAAGCCTTCAACAAGGCCTTTAATCCTCCCCGCATTCCAGGAGGTGGCTACAGAGCCCCTCTGGTGTAACTGGCTGTGTGACTGATAGACCATGCAGCCGCCCCTTGGTACACACTGCGGCACAGGTTCGAGGATGTGCATGCCCTCCATATAGGACAGCACAGCACTGACCAGGAGCTCATCCTCACCTCTAGATTACCACGTGAACTGTGGTTACACTGTACTTTCGAGAGTACTGACAATCATTCTTTCCTTGAACATTTTAAATTCATGCTAATGTGGAATGCACAGGTATGGAGCAGCTAATAGCAATGAAATATGTGGGTCAGAAAAACACCTCCAAAAGAAAACACACCCACACCAGGTTATGCCTTTATACAGTTCAACTACTTACTTAGGTCCTTGGCTTGGCTGTAGGTCTCACTGCTAAGTTTTCTAAAAAAAGGGTTTTCCTGGGTCAACAATATCTTGACATCTTCCATTGATATAGTTATAATTCTTGAATTAATGAATGGATACAATGTATATATTCCCTGTGAGAACAGGAAGATCACTGCGATTTCATCCCTGACAAGCAAAGCAGCCCCTCCTGCCCAGACCTGGCTCTCCTTGCGGGGGCCCTCACCAAGCCCGCCCTCCAGCCCAGAGCCACATCCAGGAGCTCAATAGCCTGCACGGATCCCACAGCTGCAGCAGCCTGCAGGCCTCGAGCTGGATGGAGAGCCCCTTCACTCGCCACGGCTTCCTACTAACCCACACTTGAGCGCCTCAAGTCTTCCCAAATTACCTCCTGTGCCAACCGGAAGGCACAGTCAAACTCTTCACCACTGTTATTTCGACACCACACCTTTATCCCCGTGTTAATAACCTGCAGGAGGAAAACAAGATGAAACACACGAAGTCTGGAGAATCACCAGAACAAGCTCCACTGGTACTGAAAGGGGGCAAGTTAGGCTGGATGGTACAGCAACGGCAGGGGGGGAAAAGAGGAAGGCCACCGCCCTGCAGGCCTGGCCGCCAGGTGCAAACGGCCACCGCCCTGCGGGCCTGACCGCCAGGTGCAAACGGCCACCGCCCTGCGGGCCTGGCCGCCAGGTGCAAACGGCCACCGCACTGCGGGCCTGACCGCCAGGTGCAAACGGCCACCGCCCTGCGGGCCTGGCCGCCAGGTGCAAACGGCCACCGCACTGCGGGCCTGGCCGCCAGGTGCAAACGGCCACCGCACTGCGGGCCTGACCGCCAGGTGCAAACGGCCACCGCCCTGCGGGCCTGACCGCCAGGTGCAAACGGCCACCGCCCTGCGGGCCTGACCGCCAGGTGCAAACGGCAGGCACATCCTCCTGGCACCAGACACCACCAGAAGAAAATACTTCAAAAATACAACAGGTCAGCAGACGCTATCACCCACGTCATGTGGCCCTGACAACCCTGGAAAGGGGAGAGGGAACAAGGGGGATCAGACCTCAGCACTGTCACGCAAACATACCTGACACGCAGACCCTCAGGGCAGGCTTGGCGCCGTGCCGCACAGCCAACGGGTGAGGGAAAACGCTAAGTGTGTCAAGGAGGGAAGGAAATGAAAAGGGCTGGACAGCAGTAAGTGTACAGACAATGTCTGAAAGGACAGAGCACAGGGCCCAAGGGAGAGCAGGCCTGCCACCACCCTGGCTGGGCAGGCCCAGAGAAGCGGCACAACAGCTCACGGGCGCCCACAGCCGAGCCGGAGCCAGGGCCTACCTTCATCTTCTCACTGTTGTTCAGCAGCACGTTGCGCAGCTCCTTAGAAACCATGTAGAGCTGCCGCTTCTTCCCTTCTGTAGTTCGAGTTAACAGATTCATCCTTGGGAATGAAGGATCCAAAGCATAAAACTTCCTGCAAAAGGAAGCATGCTGTTTCAGTTCACAAGCCTCACCTTGCTCTCCCCTTTCATCTATAACTGCAGGTGTTCTGCAGCATTCATTACACCTGGACCCGCCCCACCCATGAGATAGCTTCTCTCTCCATGCGACTCCAGGGTCAAGGACCTGAAACACCAGATACCTACAACACTCGCAAGACTTTTACAAATGTAAGCAGTAACAAAAAACAAAACCATCTCTCCACCCACCCAAAAAGCAGTGGAGCAGCCACTGTGATTACATGCACACTTACACTACCCTAACCATTTCCTCTATCCTTGTCTGAGTTGCCAACCCTACCCAGACCTCCTCTTCATTTCCTGGGTAAGAACTAGACAGGGCAGCCTTGGCCACTGGCCTCTATAGTTAAGAAGAGTTTTCTAGCTCCATCTTCTTTTCCTCTTTCATTTTAAGTGAAAGGTTGGAGTAAACAACCTTTTGATTTCATCCAGCTCTAAAACACAGTTAAAGAGAAACAGGCTTTGCACAAGTTCACACCTATAATCCTGGCTAATCAGAAGGCTGAGATCTAAAGGCTCATGATTCACAGCCTACAGGCAGAAATGTTCAACAGATTCCATTTCAAAAATAACCAGCAAAAAGGCAGAGCTGGAAATATGACTCAAGTAATATGGTAGTCTAGCAAAAGGCCCTGAGTTCAAAGCATAGGAAGAAGAGAGGGAAAAGCAAGTTGCACAGAACTAATTGTCAGTCAAATGTAAACAGTCGTACATTTCTCTTTCTACCCTCCATTTTAACAGAGAGGCTGCATTAGTCCTTACTCAATAGGTGGAAATAATGGGTCATCTTCAGGAATAAATACAAATGGATCTTCTTTAAATCCAAATAACTTCATTTTCTTAGATGGAGGAGGACTAAAATGGGATGAGAATGCAGAGACCTGGTTAGAAGTCAACACCCAGAAGACTCATCCTTTCCCACCCAGTGCTGTGTGACGGGTTCTACGGGGACTTTGCGCACAAAGCTAACGGGGACCCTCCTAACCCGTACTCAGAACACAGCAAGCAGCCCACCCTTTGTGCTATTCCCTGTGCACCACATCCTCAACCCTTCCCAAAACCACTGTGGCAAAGGCCCGGGGCCATTTAATTTCCCGGGATTGTGAGGCCCTCCATCGCCTTACCCACACACTCCATCTTTCTTGGTCTCATTCTCTAAGCTGCTCACAGCTGTCTCGCTGATGTCTGTGTCCCCAGGCCCAGTCTCTGGCTGATTCTGCAGCTCACCGGACTCTGTGAGGTTTTCCTCTGTGGGAGGTGCAGGGCTTGGCTGTGAGGTTTCTCTGGTTTCTGCAGATCTGCCCTGCACCTGGCAAGGGGACAAGGAATAATGCACTCTCTGCTGCTGAACCAATACCAAACCACCACATTCACAAAGTCAGCTATATGTCCCTCTAACAATGCGTAAGACCACAACAGAATGTTTTTGTCAACGGGTATCACTTTAACTCTACTTGATTTTACAAGAACAGAAGTTGTGGGCAGTCTCATGAAAAGAACAGAACACATGGTCCTCTGTAGATAGTGGTATACGGTGCCTGTTCTCATTTAAAAATGCTTAATGTGCACTTGGTGTAGGAGACAATGGGAAACAGTTATCAACACCAGCCCCAAATGATCAGGCTGGAGCCAAAACCAAGCGCAAGAGAGATGAAAGGTAAGAGAGAGGTGCGAATGATTCCACATATCTCTGGGGCCCAAAGATTTGCCCAGGAAAGAATAAGCTGCTTCACTTGTGTAGAATTTACACTGACTCAAAATGCTTTATTAATATTAAAAACCTCCCTACCATGCAGCAGGGCCCTGAGATCAATCTCTAGCAAAACAAAAACACACAACTTTTAAAACCATGCATCCTTTCAAATCGGCTACAAGATCAGTGCCTTTGTTTGAAGTTTCCTCATAAAGTGGAAGAGCAGAGCGTCTGACAACGCTGCCCCCCAGAACCCCCCCACCCCACCCTAGACAAAGTGCACTCTCCTTTCGATTCCAGCCTCTTCAGCTCAAATGAGCCTTATAGCCAGGAGCCACACAAAAGGCACATTCTATCCATGTGGGTCTGTGTGGCCTCAATGCTAGCTGGTTGTTTAACCTGCCTCCCATTGATTTCAACTAGCTAATCATGCTTCTACCTCATGCAGCACAGGCTATACCCTGCACAGAGCTAACTAAAACTCAGCCTAACTAAAAAATGGACTTCATAGCTGAGCAACCAACAGCACACTGTGTTGTGCTGAGAACACATCTAGGGCAAACAGAAGTTACAGCCCAACCACACAGGGAGGGAGGCGACCAAATGTCCAGGCAGCATCAGGTGCGAGTCAATAGAGAACCCTGCAGAACCCAATCCAACCCTCTGCCACAGCTGGCTGTGGACCCCGAGCACAGAACAAGCCACAAGTGCAGAGGTCAGATTACATCCTGTGAAAAGGTGTGACAAGGCTGGGTGAGTGTGCCGACTGGCACACGAGAGCACAGTGGATTCAACTTCAGCACCAAAACATCATATAAGCAGTGAAAGGCAGGTTATTGTTAAAACATAGTCCTAATGCTGGGCACTACTGGCTCACACCTACACTCACAGCCACTCAAGAGGCTGAGATGACAAGGTCACAATTCAAAGCCAGCCCAGCAGGAGTGGGACTGTGGCTCAAATGGTGAGAGCAAGAAGCCTCAACAAGAAGTTCAGGGACAGCAGCCAGGCCTTGAGTTAAAGCCCTAGAACACAGACAGACAGACAGACACACACACACACACACTCATATACACTCACACACACACACTCACACACTCATATACACTCATACACACACACACACAAAACACAGCATTAACACTGATTATCAACAAAATTATGCACTTACTACGTTAAATGTAACAGTACAACTAACATCACTTCTTTAACTGAAGCCACTGGGCACTGCAGCTTATGCACATGGCTGATATTCTATTTCTATTAGGAGCACAGTGCTAAGCACTCACAGCTTCATTCCAAAGAGTTAGACTGGAAGTCTGAACCAGGCATATATATGTAAGTTGTGCATACAGTCACAGCTATTTGGAGGCAGTGTAATTGGGGAGGATCATGACTCAAAGTCAGGTAATGAAAAAAGTAAGTCTCTCTATCTCAGCTGACCAGTCTGACGTGGTGTGTGCCTATCGCTGCAACAGCAAGGTAGGCATTGGCACAAGGACAGATATCAGAGGTCAGCCCTGGGCAAAAACTGCAAGGTTCTATCTATCAGCCAAAGGGCGGAAGGCATGTCTCACTGGCAGAGCCAGAGAGCAGGGCTCAGAGTTCAAACCCTAGTGCCACCAAAAAAATTCCCAAGTGTGAGTTGCAGACACAAAGTGAGGCCCTACCTAACTTACTGCAAACACCATGAAGTTCAACAGGAAGTGAAGGGTCTTCACCATTACCAGGGAGCAGGACATAAGGTTAACCAGGACCACCTGCTCCAGAAGATGCTGAAGCCTTGAGGAAACATCTCCTGCTTTTCTAAGGCCAAATGCCATGTGTCCTAATTTCCAAGCATCGACCCTCCAAGAAACATACGTTTTTCACACTGAGACTAAGACATCAACTGTCACTACAGGGAGACTCATGCAGTAACAGTGTTGGGGAGACACAGGCATACGTAAGTGGGGCTGTGAGGCCGCACGTGGTGGCCCCCAGCAAGGGGAACCAGTGGGCAGTGTGCAGTCGTTATGAATGGGTCTGTCTGGGACCTGATGGCCTGTGGCCAGCTGAGGGGACACGTAGAGAGGAGGACACGGCACAGATAGAAGCTCCACACTCCTGGTCTCAAGAGCAGGTTTGCAGGAGAGTGGGGCACTACAGACTGGATTGGGGACCTTGCACACACTAGGTGAGGGCTCTACCATTTGGGCCATACCTCCCGTCCCACAGCAGTTTTCATGTCTTTTCCACTGCTATCAAATGACTGATTAAGAGGTGGACAGAATGCATTCCCCTAACACTGAGAAAAAGGCGTGCTTTTGAGAAACTTAAAATTTAGATGAGATCCCCGTGCTCGGGCTCAACCCCTCCCCTCTCACACCCAAGCCCCTCCTTATTACTTCTGTATATCTTCCACTGAAGTTAAACTTCTGCCTCAAATGTACAAAACATCAAAGTTCTATTATATTTTGGAAGAAAGCCTTACCTTTGGTTGCCGTTTATTCCATGGCATTGAAGATTTTTTGACCAGTACTGCCACAAAGAACCCTCCAGTATTCTGATGATGGGGTAATATTCTAAGGCTGAACACAAAGAAGGTAAGAAAAGAGATAAGAGCACTTAAGAAAAGAGATAAGGAGAGATAAGAAGGGTTAATAGGGTAAGTGTAATGGATTACACTGTATGCACCACAGAAATGGAACGAAACCCATCTGCACAATTAATATACACTAACAAAACCTAAAATTCATGTTTCCAAAGATCTAACCAATTCCGTTTACAAACACTATGCCACTGACAGGCAGCGAGGGCACCTCAGCTGCTAGAAAGGAGGGCCCCACATATGGGATGGCCACTGGACCAGCCACCCCCCTTCCCCAAGCCCCGCTCTTCCCACAAACTGACCATCGCTCTAGGTGCATGGCCTGTAACTTCTCCAGGTCCTTCGGCGGGAACATGGTAGGTCGGATTTGGGTATGCCGACTGTGGGGGACCTCGTCCCAGTCGGCAAACCACTGCCCATCTCTTGTCATGACCTGCAAAGGAGCACAGCCACCACTGCTCAGCACCCCAGGACCAGTGCACACCCCAACCATACAAAGGGCGGGGCGGGAAGTCATCGCAAAGAAAGCAGCAAACCATCTTTAAAAACAACCAAGTTCAAACACTGTCATTCCAAAAACCAGGAAGGCGGCTATAAAGGAATGCTTTTCACTCAGTTTCTTTTCTTTGATTTAAAAAAGTCTCAAGACTGCTCAGTTTAACACAGCAAATTGTTTTTGAATCCCAGTCCACAAAAAATAAAGCAGAACAGTGCTAATGGGGAGACCAACACCAAAGCTGGTTTCCACAGAAGGATGAAGGCCAGATGACTTCCCATTAAGAGGGAAGCAGTAGAATCATACCATCTGTCATTAAATATAATTTCACAACCTGATGAGGTATTGATGCCTGTTATCCAAACACCAATGCTTTCTACTATTCTTGGCTCTTCGGCCTTTCAAGCTGTCCTTGCCCACTGAAGTCTGAGTCTTTGTAGCAGGATTACCTTCCACTGAGTGACTCCAGGCATCCACTTCAGTCCTGGCAGTTCACCAGATACATCAGCAAGCTCCAGAGCACCTACACAGAAAAATAAATAAGAAGAAAAGTTGAAGAAACCAGACACTAAAAGATCACACAGTATGATTCCATTCCCAGGCGATGTTAGAGAAGGCAAACTCTTGAGAGTTTGGGAGAGCGGGTCAGCGGCAGCTTGAGGCTGCAGTAGGACAGGAAGTGAATGTTAATGGGTACAAAGAACGTTCTTGAGATGGACAAAACGTCTAAAATCTGGGCTGAAGAGTACTCAACTTGGTGGTTTCTAAAAATCACATACCTGAACACTTAACTGAAAATGAACGGGATGCTATGTAAATCAGAGCTCAGTAAAGGTACCAGAGAGCTCCAGTAAGAATGCAAGCAGATGCTACTCTGCAGGATCAACAGCAGGCATGAGACACTGCAGCTTGATTCAGAGAACATGGCCTAACTCTTTGTTCTAGACACATTGTCAGATACTTGGGTCTTCAGACCTTTTATCAAAGAAGCACCCAGAACCAAACTGAAACTAAGTTTTAGGAAGTTCTGCTAAAACTTCCCATCAGGACACAGAGATCCACTTTTAAAACACAGTGACCAAAAAATAAATAAAAATAAATTAAAATTAAAATTTAAAAATTAAAAAAAACACCAGTGACCACAGTTTTGAACACATTACTGTCCCAAGGGTCTGCAAGTGATACCAGCAGCTAATTGCAAGGAATCACGTGAACAAATCAAGCCAGTTACACCCTAAAAATCTGAAGTCTAAAAAGATTCTCAAACATTCACACAGAAAACAAGCAGTTAGATCACAAATGCTCAGAGGAACAGTCCAGACAGCGAGGAAGACCACCAAAAAGCCACACTGAGAAGAGCTGGGTTGTCAGACTGGATGTGGATGCACCTTCCAGGGCCACGGAACTTTTCAGTGGCTGCTCACCCCTCATGCTTGCTAAAGCTGCAACTCGGCCCCACTGGGCTGCCCTTCCCCAAGGCTCTTGCTTACTTGACCTTTACACAGATGCATTGTGTGCCAGACTGTGGTCACTCACCCACCTCCCCAACTGTTTTAGAAACGTTCCCTCCTATTGCCAAAAAGATCCACAGCTTAAGCAGAACTTGGATTCCTCCACTCTCAGGTGGAGTCTTGCTGCTTAGGCTAGTCCTTCAAAGGCTGAAGCCAAGAACCTGACTACCCAACTCCAGACAAAGACAGGTTTGTCCTGTGCGAGGACAGTTCTGTAATAAGAACTGTGAATGGAGTCGGGCGCTGGTGGCTCACACCTGTCATCCTACCTACTCAGGAGGCTGAGATCTGAGGATCACAGTTCAAAGCTGGCCCAGGAAGGAACATCTATCTGTGAGACCCTTATTTCCAATTAACCACCGGAAAAACAGAAGTGGTGCTGTGGCTCAAGTGGTAGAGTGCTAGCCTTGAGCTAAAGAGCTCAGGGACAGCGCCCAGGTCCAGAGTTCAAGTCCCACGACTGATGAAAAAACAAAAGAAAAAGAAAGAAATGTGAATGGAAAATAGCTCGAGTGTAAGGAAAGAGGAACTGGGTAGACATGAAGTGAACTGCAAGAGCTGTGAGAGAAAATAAAGAATGCCAACCACAAATGGTCACAAACCACAAATGAAGGCAAGCCCTATTGTGAGAAGAATCCTTCCTACCTGGGCAGGGCCTGGCTTCTGGTCCCAGCCACAAGCATCAAACACAAGGACAATGACATAGAGTGCTCAGGCAACAAGAGATGAAACACAGTGACAAACAACATCCATAAGCTTTCTGTCATGCACAACCAGGCCTGGCCTCTCATTCCAGGTCAAGAAAACCCCACCCAGAACCAGGGATACCTGTCTCTTTACTTTGATATTACTGTATCATAGCAAAACTCACTATGTTTTGAGCCTATGAATCAACTGAGATTTTTTTTTGCATATGAATCCAGTATAGGGGTTTGTTTTGACATTTCCATACATGTACACTGCATCTTCTCTTCTTCATTTGTTTTGGTTTGGCTTTTTGGTTTTTATTTTTGGTGCTATTGGGATTTGAACTTAAAGAACCTCGCATTTGTTAAGCAGGTGTTCTGCCATCTGGTGACATGACATGGTCCTATCCCTTTTTGCTTTAGTTTTTTTCCAAAAAGGTCTCACACCCTTGCCCAGATTGGCTTCCATGGCGAACCTCCCACCTCTGCTTCCCAGAGAAAGCTTTATAACTGTGTATCACCATGAGCAGCTTCTTCTGAACTCTGACAAATTACAACACAATGACCCACAACAGGCTAATCACAGAACATGACCTAAGAGTCCCAGAGACAGGACAGAGGGTGGTCCTCAGGACTCAGGGAGACTTTTTTAATAAGGCCAGTTTCAATTTTGCAAAGTAATTCTGGAAATGTACAGTGGTTGTACAACAACATAAATCAAGCTAATTCTGTTGAACTGTATACTTAACAAATGATTAAGAGGATAAACACTTTGTTTTGTATATCCTGCAATCACTAACAAACACCATCTTAAAGTCCCGACACGCCAAATAATTCAATATACGATGATGGGCCCACTGCAGGAGGCTGTGTTTAAGCAGGGCATCTCATTTCAGAGGCTGTGACTCCAAAGCACACATGCCAATGTTTAGGAAAAGGTCTGCAGGAGCACACAACTCAGCACACTGACCTTCGCTCTTCTCCAGCAAGGATGCTATGACTGCTTCATCCTCGATGGGGTTCAGCGAGCACGTAGAGTACACCATCCTCCCCCCTTCTGCCAACTGCTCCGCGCCACGCGTGGCAATCCGCAGCTGTAGACTAAGGGGGACCCAGGTTACCACAGACTGCACACATCCCCAAGGCACACAGGCGTAACGTACTGATCCACAATGTCACACACGCTATAATAAAAACCTTTCAAAGTTGCAAGTGAAGTTAAGGCATAGTTATACAAGCTGTTCTGTATCAATAAATAGCACCCATTTACATGAATATATTCTGTCCTATTAATCTTTTTCAGTACATCAACAAGCAAAGCACAAACCTGGTTAAGTTCAACTCACTACAGGAATTTCTCTATTAAAAATTTCCATCTTTGGCTGGGTGCTGTTAGCTCATGCTTTTTAATCCTAACTACTCAGGAGGCTGAGATATGAGGACCACGGTTCAAAGTCAGCCAGCGCAGGAACATCCATGACACTCTTATCTCCAATTAACCACCAGAAGACCGAAGTGGCGCTGTGCTTCAAGCTAGCCTTGAGCTGTAGAGCTGGGGACAGTGCCCAGGCCCAGAGTACAAGCCCCACGACAGACCAAAAAACCCTCCATATTTGTATAAATGTGGTTTTTCTACAGAAAATTTATGTCTATACATTGTAAAACTTAACCTGTATACAGATGTACCGGACGTTATGTTGAAAAACAAACCTTACAACTTTGGTGCGAGGATGGGGGTGGGGGAAGATGGGAAGGGATGGGAAGGGGAAATAAAGGAGGAGGCAACAATGCTTGATAAGAAATGTACTTATGCCGGGCACTGGTGGCTCACGCCTGTAATCCTAGCTACTCAGAAGGCTGAGATCTGAGGATTGCGGTTCAAAGCCAGCCAGGGCAGGAAAGACTGTGAGACTCCTATCTCCAATAAACCACTAGAATACCGGAAGTGGTGCTGTAGCTCAAGTGGTAGAGCGCTTCCCTTGAGCTGAAGAGCGCAGGGACAGCGCCCAAGCCCAGAGTTCAAGCCTCACGACCGACCAAAAAAAAAAAAAAAAAAGAAAAAAAAAAAGAAATGTACTCATTACCTTGCTTATGTAATTGTAACCCCTCTGTACGGTATTTTCACAATAAAAAAAAAATCTTAACCTGTGCCCTCACTTCAGAAGAGTAAGAAAAGTTTAGTAAGAAAAACTATGGCCAGAAAATTAGATGTCTATGAACATAAACATTAGATGTTTATGTTCATAGACATCTAATTCATATTAAAGAAAAAAAGAATATAAAGTTCTACAGACAGAATAATTTCAGCTGCTCCAAATGGAGATTAAAAAGAATATCCTGCATGGAAAAACCTCATATTACACCCAACATTAACAGACATCATCTCAATGATTTTTTTTTTTTACTATTTTTAATTATCTTCCAAATTTTGAGTATTTTCCTTATCATAAAAAAGCTATATAGGACTGGGAAGGTGGCTCAGTGGTAGAGTGCTTGCCCTGCATGCATGAGGCAGCCCCTAGGTTCAATTCCTCAGAACCACAAAAACAGAAAAAGCTGAAAGTGGTGCTATGGCTCAAGAAGTAGAGCACCAGCCTTGAGCTGAAGAGCTAAGGGACAGTACCCTAGTCCAGAATTCAGGCCCCACATCAACAACAACAACAACAAAAAAGCCTCATGCCTATAATTCTAGCTACTCAAGAAGCTGAGATCAGAGGATTGCTATTCAAAGTCAGCCCAAGCATGAAAGTCTATGAAACTCTTATCTCCAATTAACTACTAGAAAACCAGAGGTAGCACTGTGGGGCTCAAAGTGGTAGAGCACTAGCCTTAAGCAATATAGCTCAGGAACAGCGCCCAGGCCCTGAGTTCAAGTTCAAACCCCATAACCAAAAAGAAAAAAAAGCCATTTTAAGTATATTAAAAGGTCAAAAAACAAAGAGCTTAAAAAAAAGCTAAGTTAAAACTTAAAGAAGGTAACGATCATTTCATGGAAGCATGTTTCAAGTCACTGGAATCGTTAGGAAGGCCTTCTGAATTAATGCACACACTGGCAGCACACAAGCTCGGACATGTAAGCAAACTATTAGGGCCTGTTATTAACTGTCAGCCAGACACTGTAGACTAAGCACCTAGAGAACGCTTGGCCACACAGCTGTAACCCATGTGTTCCAGGTAGAACCAGCTATCCTGTCACTCACCCATGCAGCTGCAGGCTGTTTAGGGTGCTCCACTTCTTCCAAACGTCAATGTTTTTTCTCATGGTGCCATCTCCACTGAGAAGAAAGTATTTATCAACTTGCAATTTTGCACAGGTAGATGACCAAAGTTTAATAGGCTTGTCACACACAAGGTGAATTGCATTACAAGTACTACTATAAATACCAATTAGAAAACAATCTAAATCCTCATCAACAAACCAACTTTCTATTTCAGTTTTCAGGACATATAAACATAATTTTTATTAAAATTATACTTAGTTTAACTTTTAATTTAAAAGGGAAGTAATGGATCTGAACAGAAATCTATTCAGTTGTTAAAAAAAATTTACTTCTATTTTGGAGAAACAGTAGTACTAAGAATAAACTAGTTACAGTATCCTTATTCACAGTACTTAGGATTTTGCATTTCTTCAGATTTTTTAGTATGCATGCATATGACAGAAATCTGAGGAGATCCAAGACTGAATAGGAAATGCCTGTTTTGTATGTATGTCATATATTCCCTGACTTTAGGATCGAAGTTTTTACTTGTGGCATCAGGCCAGAATCCAACAAGTTCCAGATTCTGGAACCCTTTCATGTTCAGATTAGGAACTCAACCTATACTAGCAAACTCATTTGTAGATCTAGGAGTACCTTGAATATGCTAATGAGAAACCTGAGTTAGTCAATAGACACTTTAATCAGAATTACATGAACAATAAGTTTATCAAAGGGTTTAAGACAGCAAACTCAATTAAGCAATTTCATTCCATTACCAATTTTTTTCTATAGTATAAAACACTTCTGACTTTCCATTATTCTCTAACAAAAATTATTTTCACATTTTCGTGACATTACTCCCACATGCATCTTTTACATTACAGGATGTCCATACCCAACTAGGGCTGACTTTCTGTCAAGTTTCATTTCCCTTGTTGGTGCAGTCACATGTGCTGTAGGGGGAGGGTCCACCGGACAGGAATGTCCTATAGCCCTGGCTGGATGCTGGTGGTTTGTAGAGTGGAAAGTGCATTGTAACTCCAGGGTGCTTCTTACAACCAACCACTCTTAAGAGTGCTTTATTCTCAGAATATAAGCTACACGTTTTATTTCTCATCAAAAGAACATAAAGTGTTTCTACCCTAAAGAAAAAAATTACCTAAGGGTAAACTAGCTATCTGTAACCTAAAAAAAAAAATTAGCACATGAGTAATATTTGTCTCAGAATGGAGTTACACTCTTACTTACCACGTTGCAAGGTATTTGGGGGAGGGGGTTCATTTCAGGTTTTTTACTCAAGTGTAAACTTATTTTAAGCAGCATTTTTCGGGTTATGTTGACTCAGTGCTACTCAGTGGTACCAGCTGCAATGTTCAGTTTCTGCCAGTAGCTCTGCCACTGGTCTAAACAAAATGCAAATCTTCACAACAGTGCTGACAGCACCTGTGGCTATTTCTGAGCTCTGGTCTCCACACATCCAGCCACTCAGGTGCTAACCCTGGGGCCTGCCTGCATGCCTTGGCACAGGTGTCTGCACCAATACAGTCTTTCCTTGCTGGAGAGTTATTTAGTCATGCTAGGGGCTATGGAGTGTGTTTTATATGTAAACACTAAATTTCTGTCATTTACTACTTAAAAATTGAAGCTCAAAAGTCTTAACTCCTAAATTTCTTGTTACTAAATAAATTTAGCACAAAAGTTCAATATGATTATGCATTACTCTATGACATTTTCCCCCACACACATATTGGAAGAAAAGATTGCAATACTCTAAAATGTAACACAGTCATCATTTATGAGTCTGCACTTCTGTGCTCCTTCTACCTTTGTTAGGACCAGTGCTGCTTCACTAACAGCTCAAGTCCGTCTCTGGGTTCAGGCTCATGACATCTCTCTCTACACTGGTATGAGAATCGCAGCTCTAGTCCTGTAGTCCTGTGTGGTTCAATTTCAGTCTACAATTGATTTCCTTGTGGATGGGGGGCTTTCTGGCCTCTGAGCAATATAAATACCTGCAAGGGACATCACATAAAATTCGATCATAGAAGAGAATCTCTTTCCTTCCGTCCATATCCACTGTGAGTCTAGGGATGCTGGATGCGTCATGGTTTACCACCATGATGCAGGGACTGCTTAACCTTTTGGCCTGATGAACGAGCAGATAGCAGCGCTTGTTGTCCACATCATTAGCGATAACAAATCCCTCTGGGAATATAAAATTGTAGTGTCAGGTGTGATGTGCACAAGTGAAACAATTTCCTGGAATTATGAGGTAGTCCACCAAACTTAAGACCTGAGGTCAAGGGTTTGTACAACAACTCCCAAAGGGAGTCAGGAATTTGAACACCCCAAAATTCCTGAACCTCTTTCCCATGACTCAACTATTAGTTACAGAGGTGAATGAGGAGATCAGGTGTAACAAACACCACAATCACCTGACAAGTGTTACAATATTGCCAGTATGTGAGGGCTCTGCCTACTGGCCCTGGTGCTCACTCCCCACTCCCCACACTAAGAACCAGTAGGAACTTTAATAGGTACTGCTTCTGCTCATTTCTGATTTTTCCCACACCCCAACAAAAAGGCAAATATACCCAGCAACATTTATAATCAGGATGCAAAACGTAAGCATAAGCAAAGGAGAGAAGCTGCCCCTGTGGGCATGTGGAGGTTCCTCATGACTACTTTGGAGACAACAATTCAAATTATTGAATAAACATATTAACAAAAATATAACTTTTGAATAATGTAAGAATATACGACTTAAAAAAAATAACTCACTTCAGCTAATAAGTATGCCATTAACAGAAGCAAGGCTGCTGGCTTAAAGGAAACAAGGCGGGCTGTAGCAAACACAGGGATGTTACTGTCTTTCTCTTGGAGAACCCCGATAAGGGGCAACAGCAGTAACTGTGGGAAAGCGTTCTCTGCAGGCTCCTTGCACCTGCAAGGGAAGTGGCATGCCTCCTGCTTCAAGAAGTGTCCAACATTGCCCAGAGCTTGCTTGTTTTTGCTAGAAACTCCAACTGTAAAATCTCTAAGTACACATGACCAAAACAAAAGGAAGAAAAAAAAAACCCTACCATTTGATTTTCCAGAAAAATAATCCTAAAGGTTTCCCCCAAGTAGTCAATGTGTGTGCTCTAGCAGGCAAAAAACATCTGGCTCTATCTTCAATAAACAGAAAGCCTGTGGCTGTCACAGCCATGCTAGTGTTAAGACTGTTCCCTGTCTATAGCCACCCAACAATACCTGGAAAGGGGACGTTCATGTCTGCATGCAGCATTTCAATTAGCTGTGTGGTCTTCGATCCAGGGGCTGCACACATATCTAAGATCTAGACAAAACGAAACAAGTGATGCTAAAAAAAATAAATATTCTAGACTTAATTTTTAGCCATACTAGTATCTTGATTGCTATTCTAAGACCTAACCATACACTTCTGCATGGAGTCATGTCATTTGACTTGTACAAGGATCTCATCATATCTAATGTCTATCTACCTCCACCCCCAAAACTTACTGAATCAGGGTGCCTAGGGGATGGGAACAAAATGACACTAGAAATCAGTGAAAACTGACATTAGACAAGGCTGTGAATGATGCTAAAAGGCAGGACACTTCCAGTCAGCATTTGTCAGCTCTCGAGGTGTGCTTCACTTTACCCATCTGGAAAATTCAGAGTGCTGGTCTAGTATCTGCCCCTCAGCCCTCATATAACAAGCTCTCTGATTTTCAGTGTTATCTGGCCAAATAATCTATAATGAACAAATTGAAAAACTCTGGAGGAGGAAAGTTATGAGAACTACAAAAGTTAAATGGGACAAAAGTATAAAAGAGAATCTAAAATACAGAGTGGAACAAGAATTAACTATATTAAAAGGTTTCGTTTCACTGAACTGGTAGAGCCCCCCCCCGTTTCCCCCCCTTCTTCCCAGCGACTACCTTATGATGTGGCCGGACACCAAGCAGCAGTGGCGGAATCATGCTGACGGCTTCCTGACGACTGATGTTCCCCTTAAGGACGAAAACACAGCAATGAGGAGAGTGGGGAAGAATTTCAATCTCAGGCATTATAACAAATGCAACAGAAAAATATCACGTTTTTATACAAAAGGATTGAGAGTATCACAAAGATCTGATTTTTACAACAGTGGGTAAACAGTTGCTATCTAAAGGCAACCATTAAGAACAACCTAAATCATTAGTTAGAAAATCACACAGGACACTGAAATATCATGTCCAATTCCTCCTAAGCACAGGGCTAAATGAACATGTCTCAAAGGCAATCTGCTATCTTAGACACCTTAGGCAGTAAAGGAGCACCAGAACAGAGCAGTCAGAAATGAAAGCTGGTGCATACACTCACAGGAGTCTTAACATTGAGTGTGGTGTACCTATCACTCCCAGTGACTTAACATGATGCATGCCTTGTCTACAGCCTGAAGAATCCAAAGATGCCTACTTACAGATTCAGTCTCGCTGACCAGGAACTGATGAAACTTTTCCAACTGTGGAGACTTTCTCAAGATTTTCCGACTTAAGTTTGTGTGCCAGGCAAGTTCTTCAGGATACCTGACCAAAAAGAAAGTGTAGCTCTCAGACTGTAGACACTGAAGTGCTCCTTTGATAACTTACTGCTTCTACAGATTGCCTGCCAAGTGAGACACCTAATTCCCTTCTTGTTCATAGCCACACTGCTCTCAAATGCAGTCAGCAACACTGACTGATGTCCCTACCCTAGAGTAATGTTCTAACCAGACCACAGGCCGGTTAAAAGCAGGCAAGCTGGGAGTAATGAACAAAATACATGCCTAATGTTACCACAAAATAAAAATGATGGTGAGGAAAGAGTGGAGAGTGTCTCTGTTCCCTGCTATGGTGGAGGCATCAGTGGAAGAGACATCACTAGGATGATCTACTTCACGTACCACATGGCACAAAGATCAAAAGAACAGAGTAGATACCTGATACTTTGCATCTCTGGGATTTTAATAGCAATATTGCAGTTGTTGAACTAGGCTAGGCAGGCATTTGCCAGGTAGGCCTTCCACCAGTTGAGCCACACCCCTAAGCTCTTTTTTGCTTGTCATTTGTCTAGTAAGAATATCACAGTTGATGCCTGTTGAAACCTTAGCTTTGATCCTATTTATGCTTCCCACATAGCTCCAATAACAGGAACACACCACACTCAGCTTCTTTCTGGCTAAGATACAATCTCAAGAACCTTTTCTCTTGGCTGACCTTGAACTGAGTTCTTCCCAATCTCTGACTCTTGAGTAGCTAGAATTACAGACATGAGCCAATACAAAGGATTCAGCAAAACAAGAGTATAACCACAGCTTGAAGAGAATAAAAAATAAAAAGACTGATTACCAATCTGAAGAGCCCAATAGAAGAAAATGATAAGAGGACCAGGGCAGAACTTGAACTTGAGAGCAGAGGGCTTACTGAGCAAGTCTGAGGCCCTGAGTTAACCCAGTTGCCTACTAGATGCCTAGAAAGATGTGCCGCGGAGTATCTGTTTCCTACAGATGCGTACTGAAACCTCCTACTGGCTTAGGTGTCCTCATCATTCTCTAACCTATTACCATACTTCCAGATACAAGTCTTAAGGAGTAAATATCCCCAGTTAAGAGCAATGCAGCCAGTTCAGGTAAAACTGAATGACAGTCTATCTCCAACTACGCCTGAGTATCAGCACCACTAGTGATACTTTCAAACCAGGAACTCAGAATTAACTAGCCACTAGAGAGGTTTTAGAATGGGTCTCATAAAGGTCACTTTCTCTCAGGAAGAGCATACAAACCACAGCAGCTGAAGACATACTCTTCCACTAATGTCACTACGATGGACAGGGCTCACCAACAGCAACCTGATGTTCAATTCATTTTACTGCAATGGTCCTTTCAAGTTTTTAAAATCAAACAATGTAGTCCATGAGAGAGCGTGCACACACATATTTTCTCCCTTCACCCTCCCCGCCTCTCACCAAGTTTCACATTCATTCTTCTACCCCAGAAATGCATTTTGTGACAGTATCTGGCTTTGATCTAACCAGTACTCTAATTTTATTGAACACTCAGCATTCTGTGTTATGGACCCTGAAAATCCAATGTCTGGTGAAAGAAAAAGCAAAGCCACATACTTCATGGTTACAAAGTTTATAATCACTGAAAGTTGTCTAAAAATTAAAGACACAACCATTCACCTGTCAAAAGCTGCCAGAAAGCACTTGTTCAGTTCACATCATGTAAGAAATATTTAGGATTGCTTTTCTTTCATGAGATATTTCAATAACTCAAAGTTATTTTGAAATATGGAGCCAAAACAACTTACATTAGCAACTGTTACAAGTTATTTCAGGGCTAGGCACCTCCAGTTTGTGCTCCAGGCATTTCCTAATAAAGCCTGGACCCAAGGTTCACCTTCACAAAGTAGAGAAGCTAGAGGACATATCCTGGACAGGGAAGGAAAGAAAGGGCTAACTCTTGCTAGGAACAAATATTAAAATCCCAAAGGAAAGTCAACATGATCAAGGATGATGGTACCTACCAACTTAAGGGCTGTGGAACTTCAACTTTCTGACCATCCACCTCCAGATTCTCCAATTCCTTAAAATACTTGTTCTTCAAACAATGAAGAATTTCTTTTGCATGGCTGTTGAAAAATAAGCAAGTTTCCCAAGGATCTAAAAAGATATCATGCACAGCATCTTCTCCAAGTTTGCGAATTTTTTTTTTGCCAGTCCTGAGGCTTGAACTCAGGGCCTGGGCACTCTCCCTGAGCAATTCTTTTGCTCAAAGCTAGCACTCTTCACTTGAGCCATCGAACCCAGGGCTTCCGAGCCTTGGACGTGTTTTAGTTCATTCAAACCAACTCTACGTGAAAGGAAATGTTCTTTGGACACTGCCTTCTCCGCCAAGATCGCTTTGAAAACCTGAGCACCCCGTGTAGTTCGGTCACTAAAGGATCAGGCAAACGCAACATTAACTCCTTCGTTCCTGACTACGCCGCAGCCTCATCTTCACTTACACCCGGTGTTGGCAACGCTTCGCTACAGTGGGGGGGGGGGGTCGCGGGACCGCTCGGCTCGCCCAGGCCCCGGGAGCGTGTGCAACCTCGCCATCCCGGCCTCCCACCTGCAAGGCTCCCTCCAACTACACCGGCCCCCCTGGGACGCCCCGAACCCGCTCGAGGCTTCCAGAAGCCCCGGAGCCCGAGCCGCGGCGCCAGACCCCCACCTCTTGTAGCCCGTGATTCTCAGCGTGGCCGGCAGCGGCTCGCGGAGCGCAGTCATGAACTGGTCCCACTCGCCGTCGGGCACGATCCCGAGCTCGCGGTAGTAGTGCTCGAACAGCTGGTTCTCCTTGACGATCTCGGGGTAGCCGCCCTCCCAGCCCTGCGGGGAGAGCAGCGTCAGCCCGGCGCAGG